AGAGCAGCCTGCAGCTATGATGTCATCTCACTCCCGCTCCCGTTCCCGTTTCAGCTCCCAATCTCTCACTCTGCCATACCGCTGCCATCCTGTGGCTATTGCTGTGCGTTTTCGCAAAGGCGCTGTCAATTTTCATTGCACGGGACGGCGTCCAACGCGTTCTGTTCAAATGGCGCATGAAACGTCATTCTGAGACGGCCCTGACTGACATTTGTGGTCATCATTGTTGTTGTTGTCGCGTTTGCCTCAAGTGCACACAATACAATGCATGTATGTGTGTTTGTGTGTGTGTTTGTGTGTGTTTGTGTGTGTGTTTGTGTGTGTGTGTGTGTGTGCATATGTGTGTGCTAAAAAGTAAGTGAGCTCCACTCTCGACAGATTTCAGCTTGGTCGCTGGGTCATGCAATTTTCCAGTTCAAAAGCTTAAAACTAAATTAAACTTTATGACTTGCCACGAAGCAAACAGCCAGAGCAACAGGATTTGCGGCAACTACGAAAAGGATTACCACATGCCATATGAAGAAAAATGTGTGGATTCGTGTTATTGTTGTACCCAACTATTATGAAAAGTATTCACTGCTGAGCATATTCGATCTGAAATAAAGATTGTAGTATAGAAAAACACTTATAAATATACAAATATATATTAAAAAAATTGATGTAAAAGGCTCGGAAGTTTACGGAAAAAATAATAATTATATTGTTCTATAGTATGTAATATTCTATATTAAAATAAATATTTCAAATTTTCAAAATTTTCCAAATAGTTTTGACATTATTTTTGTTTTTTCTTAGGGTTTTATTTGAAAAGAAAAACTTGCTAAAAATCAAGCCTTAATTATTGGGAAAATTTGTGAATATCTGAAATTGTTATATGTGTACAAATAATAAATGTTTATATATATATAATTAAGTTTTTATTCTTTACATATAAGCCACTAAGAAAAACAACGAACATTTTGCTTTAGTTATTTGGAACATTTTTGAATATATGAAAGTGTTATATAAATATTAAAAATCGATTAATTGACAAAATGTGGTATATAGGGAACATGCTAGTACTATTAAATATGGGCAAAAGCTACTTTATATCTGACAAACAAAAGAAAATTAAAAGAAACAAGAAGTGCTTCAGACTACATAAAGCTGTTGAAGGGGTATCTATCTAGTTTGATTCACATTTATGCAAAGAGAAATTACTTGTTTCGCTTGGTCTTCGTGCTGACCAAATCGGATTATCTGGTCAAGCCAAAGAGGCGAACAAACAAATGAATGTAATGAGTTTAAGTGGCAATGACAAAAATTGTCAGACATTTTATTGAGCAAATATTAAAAATATTACGAATCGCTAGCCATTAGAGGCAGCCGTTGCCAAGGCTCTGCAAGCTGCCAGCTGACAAGAACAAGAACAAGCACAAACACAGTTAAGGATACAGATACAGATGCAGACACACAGATACGAGTAAGAGCAACCACTTAATGCTGATATGTATGAATGTGGCAAGCGAGAGGGAGAAAAGCAATGAGGGGAAAGGCATCTACTCACGCTCACATGGACACACATACAGCAAGATAGCAAATTTAATGTAATGGCCATAAGAACCGAGAACCAACAAACCAACGCGTACAAACATTTGTGCTGCTCCTTGCTATCCTTGCAGCTCCTTTCTCCTATCCTCGCACAATGCTCATCCTCTTTTTGCTGGACATGTGTTTCCAATGGTTTTTGCGCCAACAGCTCTGCCATTTAAAAACGCACAAAAGTTGGCGTCGGGCGAGCACAAAAAAAAAACAACAAACTTTTCAGAAGAAAAACCCAGTTGGCATTGCAGTTGCAGCGTTTATTTGATTTTTACACACCGATTTTGAGCTATTCTTTTATTAGATTTCGCTTGGCGCTGGCAATTTCGTTGCATTTTCTTCTTCATTTTTTTTATGTTTTTCTGCCATTTTTCTTTTTCTTTACCATGTTGGTTGCGGCCAGTTGTGAATTTGTGAGATTTGATTTTGAAATTGGCCGGACGAAAAGTCAGTGGTAAGAGACGCATGGGAAAGGGGTAAGACAAGATGTTAAGCTGAAAGCGCGCAATAGAAAGAAAGGCTGCCACAGGAGATGGAGTGCATAAGATAAGCAAAGACATTATGGCCACAGCCATCTCCACAAGATGGACTGGGCTAGGAATTTATTTAGCTACATAGCTTTAACTTTAACGTGAAACAAAATAGAAATTTTTTTTACGGATTAATATTCGCGGTATTATCTATTGGGAATGGGGAAGACGCAAGTGGTACAGATATTGTTTGTGTAATTCGCGCCAGCTTCTAAAATATATAAAACAAGCTTCAGCGCTTTCATAATCCCATCACCAGCACAATTTATTAATTAACAATATATAAATGCACTTGATTGATTGACGCTTTCAAATTTGGTTAGCCATGTTCTCATATTTATATTTTATTTATTATTATTGCTTATCGTTCCTTATTAAAGCAAACCAAACAAAAATATTTTAAACTAAACATGGAATCGGCGACCTCTCGCCTTTTGGCCGATGCTTAGATATCATAGAAATCATACAGTCTCATGACTGCAAGTTTTCGTGTTTTTTTTACAGGTTTTGACCAGTAACATTCCACCCTGCAAGGTCCATTTTGTAAAAATTCGTGCAAATGCTAACTTTTTAACTAACAACATATAATGCAGAGAAATATTCACTAGTTGGTTATACATGGTTATACATACATACACATATTTTTAAAGCCTAGTTAGATTCTCTTGACCTTGTTGCTTGTATTGCTGGAATATTTAATATTGAATATATTGAACAAGGCGAAACTTGACCTGCTGCAGGCGATTGCAATTTTAAAGCCATTAAACTAGTATATAATACGCCACAATTTAGCACATTGCCATCGATTTAGTACAGCGCCTGGGCGACAGCAGCAGATGCCGAGGCCAGCATCAAAGCTTCAGCTTCAACTCTTCTGCCCGGCTCGCCATGCCACGCCTCCATGTGCTAATATACCCTGTACCTAAACTGTGATCGAGCAACTAGTTTCAACAAGAGATGCCTTATGGCATATTTATTTTCGATACACAATAATAGTTTGAATACTAATCTTCCAGCAGATCTCTAAGCGATCTCTGAGACTTTAAGGACTACAGTTGAAAAATGTTGTGGGTGAACTTTCAATTGCGTGACAAACATGCATAAACGCAAATATAAAAATAAAAGATTTATTTTGTATTTAATATCTGAGAGCTCATTAAGATTTGCAGGGTATTCGCCGCTTGTAATATTTATGTTATAAATGTTCATGCCCTGTGCTGAAGCTGTGACAGAGGGATTGAAAAAAATGCATATGCTGGTATTGATGCTGCTTTCAATTGCTTCTGGCACACGACTTTGCCGTCGTTGCCATCGATAGCTGCTTTCAATATCTAATAATATTGCGCATACGCTCTGTGCGCTTCACTCAGAAGTTCCTTGGATGATGCCGTTGCTGCTGCTTCACTTACACTGAGTGCGTGTTGGCGCAATAATCAACAGTTATATTATGAATGCACAAACATAACACACACACATGCATACAGACACACTTCCACTTGCGATGTGTTCATAATGCGCATTTTAACCCCTTTTGGTCTTTGGCGGTGGCAAGGAGGGTGGTCTGTACCATTTCACCCATCCATATGACACTCCATTTAAGTGATACGATAAATTTGGGATTTTCTTTGCATTATGCGCAGATTTTTCTGATTTCTCTACCCACAGAGCTTTTTGCACGCTGGCAGCTTGAAACTTTTTTAATAATAAATAAAAGTGCTTAACTTAATTCGAGCTGTTCAAAACGCTCTTCCTTTTCACCCCCAAGCATCCACTGAACGTATGTGTATGTGTGCCTGTGCTATGGATTTTCTGCTTGTATTTGCCCATTTTATTTGTTTCTTTGATTTACCCTCACACACATCTATATGCACAGCTTGTGTGTGTGTGTGTGTGGATATAATTTTTCGATTATTGCTGAGTTTTGGCTTATTTTTACCCCTCGCATATTGTGGCATTTGCGGCTGTTTACCTCGCCAGCGGCTAAAATGCAATTTATGTGCCTTGGCCAAGTGTTGAGCATTCGGATTTTGTTTTTTTTTATACTGTTTGTTTGTTTTTTGTTTTTATGCTTGGGTTCAGGTTTCATTTTATGCCCCGCCAATGTTATTGCCACTTGTCATTTGCGTGATTTACGCTTATCGCTGGAGCCAAGTGTGTAATTTGCGCTGCTTGTCAGCTTATCGAAATTATGGCTGATACTCGATGACATGGCCCTTATATAACAGCAGATTCCCAGATGGCTTTTGCAAGTTTCTGTACCCCAATAAGAATAAGAAACAATAATAAGACCGAATGTAAATCAATGTGCAAACTTCATTTAAAAATATGTCAGATGAAATTATGTTAATTTATATTTTATATTTTGAGAAGCTTAGATTTTAAGAAGCTTGAAACGCGATTATAATGTTAGTGAAGTGTAGTAAGCCCTGCAATTTACAACTTACGTAGGGAGCGTCGATTATATTACAATTTTTTATTCAAATAAGAATTGTATACAGCCTGATACGCAAACTTCATTCACTTCAGTTGCATAGTGTTCAAATCGTCTTGTAGACGAGAATGATGTATAGTATAGTATTTGATAGAATAAGTGTCACAATGTCCTCATATATAACGGTTCGTACACGGACATGTGATAAAACCGAGCTGAGATCATATATAAAAAGTAAAGGGTAAAGACCAAGAACACCAAAAGTCACGTCAACCTGTTTAGCCTTAGCATTCCTCCTTGGGTCCTACCTTTCAAATGATAACTAATCCAAAGCAAAAGATACGGAGGGAAACCTAATCGGACAAGTTTAAGTAAAATATCATGGTTTACAGCAGAATTGCAGAAATGCTGCAAATTCGAAGTGCATTTTTTTCAAATAATTTAGAAATAGCGGTCAGTTTTGCAACTATTCCAATAATTGTGTATATTCGAGTTTCCTCCTTTCTTGTGGAGAAAATTGATAGTTGTTTGCTACTGACATCGCTCGAAAATGAGAAAAAGCATTATCGTTGAATAATTCTGTTGCACGTATTGCCTCTGTCTGATTGGGGTGATGCTTTATGATGCCACAGACTCGCATGCTTTGAAATTTCTCTGATTGCACTAGACGGTTGCTGTTCTTCTGTTATCTCCCCGTCTGAAAAAGTCTGTTCAACAACTTGCTGCAAAGCACATTGCAATTCTATAAACTCACCTTTTTCGTTGGTCGTTATGCGAAGCTCCGTTCGTTAAGAGAAACCTTTTTTACCAAAAAAAAATGTTCGTTAACCGAGAGTCCACTGCATACTTTAATTTTAGATATTTCCATTTCGTTAATTGTTTTCATGTTTTCATGCTCTAATGCAGGACAATCGTCCATTCTATGTGGTTACCAAGCGGCTGCTGCTGTTGCTACTGTCTCCACGTACACCTTATTCCATCATATCGAGGTAATAATTAAACATTTGCGGTATAGGCAGCACTAATTGCAATGATTTAGGAAAGTCATTCCATGGTCTTTCAAAATACATCTGACTGTTCATTAAAAAGTTATTAAATATAACCACAGATAGCGACTGCAACATTAGTTGCAGAGGTCTAGCTGCAAAAACTGTACGATATGGACATAGTCATGTTACATTTGCTTACTGAATTTCTGCCGTGACATCGGTCCTATCAAGCAGTGATTATTTTTGTTGGTACTTTGGATTTTGTTTTTCATCTGACATTTTGGCACTAATTAAAAGTTACAAATAATTTTTAATGCCAACTCATACTCAGTCTTGGAAACGCAAATATGATTTAGAGTAGCCATCTGTTTTCTCATTTCTCTCTGCCTCTCTCGCAGTTTTTGGCAAGGTAACAATGGGTATACATGTGAGTTTCACAGCTTTGGTCCGTCGCATTGTTTATTGTCTATTTAACAGGTCGGTGTTCCAGTCGAGGTTATGCACTATACGATTCAGTTGCTTACCAAACCGACAGCGAAACTACTGTTTATTATATACATGTGGCGCAGCCAGTTTACATTTTAATTAATTTGATATATTTCATTTTAATTTCTTTTGGCCCCACAGACATATACAGAAGTGGTTCTTAAAAAATATGCGTGAATTTGTTTACCAAAAATGTAAAAACTTTTTCAAAAAGCGTAAGGATAAAATAATACACATATATAATAAATAATACAATTATATATTATAAAATAACAGGATCAGATCAAGAGTGTGGAGTCATACCTGCTGCAGATGACATTCCTGCAACTCTCTTTTTAAAGGTAGCTCCTCTTATTGCCCGTGCAAATCATCACTAAGCTTAATAAATCGTTTTTCCTTTATTCAACTTGATCTAACAAATTTTGTGTGAAAGCAAAGTTGCTTGGATACGCATAAAGCTATTCGAGTGGTATATTGGGTATGCCTTAATTTATTCCAAAGAAAATATATTTCTTGATTTAAATTAAAGCCGAGTTTTCACATTCATATTTATATCTATAGTCTAATTTAATCCATTCAGTTCTCAAAATTGATTATCATGTACCATATCATATAAAACGGATGTTACGGGTGTTACAACAATAAAAAATCAGATACAAATGCTGTTTGCGATTGATATCGATTTGAACTATTTTAACTTCTCCTTCATTCGGTTTAGAGCGCTGCCTGCCTTGAACCACTCGATTTGCTCGGCGTTGAAGGTGTGGTTGAGCTGTATTTTATCGGAGCCGCCTCCGTTCTTGATCTCGCAATCAATGGGCTTGCCGGGAGCCATATCTTTAAGATTAACCAGCGACAATTTACTAGTAGGCTGGATCTTGTCGTAGTCGCTGGGATTGGCAAAGGTCAGTGCTAGGAGACCCTGCTTTTTAAGATTTGTCTCGTGTATTCGGGCAAAGGACTTGACTATGATGGCAACTCCACCTAGGTGGCGTGGCTCGAGGGCAGCATGCTCGCGGGAGGAACCCTCGCCGTAGTTGTCCTCGCCGACGGCTACCCACTTGACATTGTTGGCCTTATAGTCACGAGCCACTTCGGGAACTGTGCCCCAGTTGTTACTGCGCTGGTTCTTGATCTTGTTCATTTCGTTGTTCTCGGCATTGGTGGCACCTATGAACATGTTGTTGGAGATGTTGTCCAAGTGGCCGCGGTATTTCAGCCAGGGTCCGGCGGCTGAGATATGATCGGTAGTACATTTACCCTTGACTTTGATAAGAACGGTGAGATCTGTGAGATCTTTGCCGTCCCACTTTGTGAAGGGCTCCAGAAGTTGCAGGCGCTTCGACTTTGGATCCACAGCAACTTTCACTTTGCTGCCATCTGACGGGGGAGCTGAGTAAGTATCCTGTCCGGGATCGAACCCCTTGGCGGGTAGCTCCTCGCCAGTGGGTGCTTTGAGCTTAAATTTCTTTCCTTTGGAATCGGTCAGCTCGTCCTTCAGCGGATTGAAGTCCAGGCATCCTACAATGGAGAGCGCGGTGACAATCTCAGGACTGGTCACAAAGCAATGAGTCGCTGGATTAGCATCGTTGCGGCCGGTAAAGTTGCGATTGTACGAGGTGACTATGGTGTTCTTTTCGCCCTTCTTCACGTCCTTGCGATCCCACTGACCGATGCAGGGCCCACACGCATTGGCCAGAACCGTCGCGCCAAACTTATTGAACGTATCGATCATCCCATCACGCTCTATGGTGGCGCGGATCTGCTCCGATCCGGGCGTCACGTTAAATGGTATTTTGGCCGTCAGACCATGGCTTAGGGCGTCTTTGGCAATGCTGGCACAGCGGCCCATGTCCTCGTACGAGGAGTTTGTGCAAGAGCCAATCAGACCCACCTTTATTTCAATGGGGTAGCCGTTCTTCTTCGAGTTTTCACCCAGCTTATCTATAGGGTGCGCCAGATCAGGAGTGTATGGTCCATTTACTAGCGGCTCCAGCTTGTCCAGGTCTATCTCTATTAGCTTGTCATACTTGCAGCCTTTGTCGGGTGTTAGTAGCTTCTTCTTATACTTTTCTGCCTCTGCGGCAATGTTGCCCCGTCCTGTGGCGCACAGATATTGTATCATGCGTTCGTTGAGGGGAAACAGCGAGGTAGTTGCACCGATCTCGGCGCCCATATTGCAAATGGTGGCCTGGCCCGTACAGGAAATAGATTCGACTCCCGGGCCATGATACTCGATGATGGCGCCAGTGCCGCCTTTGACGGTCAGGATTTCGGCCACCTTCAAAATGACGTCTTTGGCTGCGGTCCAGCCGCTGATTTTGCCAGTCAGATGGACGCCGATTACATTGGGGCACTTAAGCTCCCAGGGCATGTTTGCCATCACATCGACAGCATCGGCACCGCCCACACCAATGCAGAGGCCACCCAACCCGCCGCCGTTGGGCGTGTGGGAGTCGGTGCCGATCATGAGGAGGCCGGGAAAAGCGTAATTCTCCAGTATGATTTGGTGAATGATGCCGCTGCCTGGCTTCCAGAATCCCAGGCCGTACTTGCTGCTGGCGGAAGCCAGAAAGTCATACACCTCCTTGTTCAGATCCTTGGCACGCTTAAGATCCTGCTCGCCACAAATCTGTGCCTCGATCAAGTGGTCGCAGTGCACAGTTGACGGGACAGCCACCTTGCTCAGGCCAGAAGAAATAAATTGTAGGAGCGCCATCTGCGCGGTGGCATCCTGCATGGCCACACGGTCCGGTCGCAGCAGCAGGTATGACTCACCGCGCTTGATATCTTGATCGCCCGGATAGTCCAGATGGGAGTAGAGCACCTTCTCCGACAAGGTAAGAGGCCTTTTTAGGCGATTCGCTACACAGTCCAACTTGTCGCTTAGCAGCTTATAAGGCAAGGGTTGGCCAGTTTCGAACTTAGACATGGCCACGCCGGAGGACTTTGAGCTCATGGAAACGTTCCACTGACTCATCAAGGGCTTGACAGCCCTTCTGCAAAGTCTGCGCAACCTCTCTGCTGTCTGTGCAATCATCCTCTTGGACATGGTAAATTCTTTTAAAATAATTATATATAATGTATTACTAAAACATACAATAATTTTGTCGCAGTGATAAAATATATATATATATACTTCTTTTTTATGTATTGAAATGAAATATTTTTTAAAAGTCTAGTATGAAAGCATTTGCTCTCCAGTTTATGACAACTTTTACATAGGGATCTACTCCACATTTTTCCTGAGATTGAGATTTTTGCTAAAAATGTATGTCTTATCTCTGACTGACTGACTGATTGATTGGTGATCAACGCACAGCCCAAACCTTCTTACGGTTCTTCTGGGAGACTGACATTTTTACTGTAGTTACCTCATGCGTTGAAGGTGCACGTTAAGACAGGGTTTCGAGAAATTCCACACGCACGTGTGAAAAAATTACGAAAAACGTTTATAAGAAATTTTTTTGTTTACCAATCGGCCTTAAACTAATTTTTAAAGAAATTTGTTCTATTCATTTAAGGGGTGTTTCGCACTTTTCGAAAATTTGGCCGTTGACGTTTCGCGATCAAATTCATTGCCAACGATCTATGTATATGAAAAATCATTTGGGACATGTATTTCACATTTTTCGCAGAACCAAAGCATCCTCTGTAAAAAGTGCGTGAGAAGAACTAAGTGAATACGTGTTACAGCGATTTGCTAAGTTCCACCCACAACAGCGGGTAATTAGATGAAATTGTTTGTATTAAACTTTTTACATAAAAAATCATTTGAGACCTCGTTTCACACTTTTCACAAAATGTAAACTCATTTGATGGAACGTGCATTGGAAAGTTTTTGTTGGTGAATTTTAAGTTTTTTCCGATTTGCAGAGCTCTACATTAGAATATAATGAATACATATTTCAGCGAATTGGGAAATTCCCCTCTCCGCAGTGGTAAAATGACAAATGAAATATTTGTATGAAAGTTGTTTGTTTACCGTCCGCTCAATTTCAAAATCATTTTCAAAGCTTTTTGAGAACATTGATTTTTTAAGATACGTGCTATTGGCAAAGCCGGGCTAAGCCCGCTAGTATACCTATATTAATTTTGCTAATTTATAATGTACACGGATCGTATAAGATTTTATATTGCTTGAAAGAGGAACTATTACCAAATCAGCTGTCGTATAAGAGGTGAAAACAAGTTCATTGAAAGGCCATTAAGGGCCATGTGGCAATAATCGAACTCAAATTTGCTACAGCTCTCCACTGAGAATACATGGGCCTAAAATGTATACTTATATGTTGACCAGGGCGATATTCTGTGCATATTTGAAAAAACACTATGAAGAACACAAGGCACAAGGGGCATGGTGATGTCAGGGTCGGAGAGAGGATTGTTGTGTGAATGAGGCACCCATGTCAACGGGACTGATGTTGCAACAAAGTGAGTCAAGCGATTCACATGAAACTATGCGACTCGAAAGCTGACGTGAGTCATTTCTGCCATAGGCTAACTGACGTGCTACTACAATGCAAGTGGCAAACAGAAGGACAGCACGTCATTTACTTGAGTGGGGCAGGGGATAGTTGCAGAGACCAAAGTGTGAACTGCAAGTGAGGCGCACGACGAGCAAC